GTTAACATATGTCCCGTAAGAAAATCACGTCGCGTGAACAAATCTGAGTTAGCTGTGCACACGGGGTCATTCGGCTTATTTTAACAAGCGCTCAAACTGACCGCCGTTATGATGAACGTGAATGTGTGATGCATCAGTTGTCGAGTCTTATATATTTTTTTAAATATCATCTGAAGAGGCAGTTATTAATGAGAATGATTAAGTAAGTAAATGTTTTTAAAATTAAACAATTAACAATTAAAATGGTTTATTGCCGGTGTTACAATAAATGTATTAGCCCTATGTGTCCTGATTTTTGGGCCACCCTGTATAATAACAACCCTGGCTAATCTCCATCTGTTCCATCTCACTCCCTTCTACACCGTGTGTGGACTAATCCCCATCTGTTCCATCTCACTCCCTTCTACCACGTGTGTGGACTAATCTCCATCTGTTCCATCTCACTCCCTTCTACACCGTGTGTGGACTAATCTCCATCTGTTCCATCTCACTCCCTTCTACCCGTGTGTGGACAAATCTCCATCTGTTCCATCTCACTCCCTTCTACACCGTGTGTGGACTAATCCCCATCTGTTCCATCTCACTCCCTTCTACACCGTGTGTGGACTAATCTCCATCTGTTCCATCTCACTCCCTTCAACCCGTATGTGGACTAATCTCCATCTGTTCCATCTCACTCCCTTCTACCCGTGTGTGGACTAATCTCCATCCCTTCCATCTCACTCCCTTCTACCCGTGTGTGGACTAATCTCCATCTGTTCCACCTCACTCCGTTCTACCCGTGGGTGGACTAATCTCCATCTGTTCCATCTCACTCCCTTCTACACCGTGTGTGGACTAATCTCCATCCCTTCCATCTCACTCCCTTCTACCCGTGTGTGGACTAATCCCCATCTGTTCCACCTCACTCCGTTCTACCCGTGCGTGGACTAATCTCCATCTTTTCCATCTCACTCCCTTCTAACAGCGTGTGTGGACTAATCTCCATCTTTTCCATCTCACTCCCTTCTAACAGCGTGTGTGGACTAATCTCCATCTTTTCCATCTCACTCCCTTCTAACACCGTGTGTGGACTACCTCGCCTGGTCTACAGGAGGTCGTGGGTTCGATCCCGACCCTGACGACGCCTGCTGCTGCTGTATATTTGGAGTTTGCGTTTCTATCATCATCATCATCACGGTGGCTAGGAGATGTTAACTACCTCGCCTGGTCTACAGGAGGTCGTGGGTTCGATTCCGACCCTGACGATACCTGCTGCTGCTCTATATTTGGAGTTTGCGTGTATCTCTCATCATCATCATCATCACAGTGGCTAGGAGATGTTCACTACCTCGCCTGGTGTACAGGAGGTCGTGTGTTCAATGCTTGTGGTCCCTCTGGTCAAACACCGTTTTGAGACGAGGCTCAAAAGAAAGCTGTCTCTGGATGTGGACCAATCAGTTTCAAGGACAAGCATCATCACATATTATCAGGGTGCTGTTTTTTTGTTTGCATTCTGACCACAAGTATTGTGGTTAATGCAGTTACACGATTCCTTGTAAAAGGTTTCAGTTTGGTGTTTTAACATCTCAACACCCAGCTGTTTTGTTGACAAGAAAAATGGGGAAAAAACCTATTATCGTATTTTGGTACTGGCAAAGGAGGTCCCGTGATTCGGATATCATTCGTGATTGCCAGGTCGCTTCTGACAGAAAAGAACGTCAAAAGAAACAGCCACGCAGCTCATTGGGCATCAGCTGTTAAAGGTTAAATAATTAATAAACAGTTGAGTTTGGGTCGTGATGGACATTCCCCGTTCCTCTGTCGGGGGGTTGAGTCTGCCCATAGCACCACCACCGTTTTGAACCTCAAAATTCAGTTCCCCTGTTACAAGCGTACGCGTTAAACCGTATGGGTTGACAGCCACAGCTACAGCCACACACACGCACATTTATACGATGATTTTAATTTGAAATGTGTCCGCTTAATGCTAAGCAGCGGCAGCTTGAACGTTGTGCTCGTAAGGTTTTAGGCAAACTTCTGCTGATTGTGTGCGCATGTGAATGTTCCCCGGAGTGAGCAGCGTAATTAATGTAGTTAACATAATTAATGCCCTCCCCCCCACGGTGGAGGAGGAGGAGGAGGGGGGGTGATAGAGAGAGAGAGAGAGTTGTGAATGGCTGGATGGAGTGTTGATTAGAATGCTGGGGGTAGCGAGGAGCGAGTGGTGGTCGTTGCAGGGAGCTGGGGGTGGTGGTGGTGGTGGTGGCGGCGGTGTGCCCACCAGCTGCTTTAATTACCAGCGTCGCAGGAGGGCAGGAAACGGATGAGTTTGCGTCCCATGCCGCTGATTATGTCCGGGGTGGGGGGGAGAGTTGGGGGCAAGACGACTTTAAATGTCGCGGGTTAGGAAAAGCCACGGTGAGCGCGTGATAGAATCACCAACACCCCCCACCACTCCCATCTCTCATCCTCCTCCAACACCCAGTGGCTGGAATCGTAAAGGCTCACGACCACAGCTGCCAATGCACACGGTTCACCTCCTGTTCTCGTGCAGGGATATTGAGTTTGGAGATCCGCACGGCGTGAAGCCGTTTCAGCACGGGCAGCGAAGGAAATGATGAAAATGTGTCTGTCTGTGTGCGTTTCTCCCTCCTCGTGATGGGGCTTTGTAGGATGAAGTTTGAGATTTGTAAGGGGCACGGCGTGACCAGTGAGGCGTGAGTTGGTTTGTAGTGAGGTAGGGCACTGACAAGGGGTTGACAGGTTTGTAGTAGTGGTGTGTATAGTAGTGTAGTAGTGTAGTGTATAGTGTAGTGTATAGTAGTGTAGTGTATAGTGTAGTGTATAGTAGTGTAGTGTATAGTGTGGTGTATAGTAGTGTAGTGTATAGTAGTGTCGTGTATAGTAGTGTAGTGTATAGTAGTGGAGTCTATAGTGTAGTGCATAGTAGTGTATAGTAGTGTAGTGTATAGTAGTGTATAGTAGTGGAGTGTATATTATTGGAGTGTATAGTGTAGTGTATAGTAGTGTATATTATTGGAGTGTATAGTGTAGTGTATAGTAGTGTAGTGTATATTAGCGGTGTGTATAGTGTAGTGCATAGTAGTGTATATTATTGGAGTGTTTAGTGTAGTGTATAGTAGTGTATAGTGTAGTGTATAGTAGTGGAGTGTATAGTAGTGTATAGTGTAGTGTATAGTAGTGTAGTGTATAGTGTAGTGTATAGTAGTGTAGTGTATAGTAGTGTAGTGTATAGTGTAGTGTATAATGTAGTGGATAGTGTAGTGTATAGTAGTGGAGTGTAAAGTAGTGGATAGTGTAGTGTATAGTAGTGTAGTGTATAGTAGTGTAGTGTAGAGTGGAGTGTACAGTAGTGTAGTGTATAGTAGTGGAGTGTATAGTAGTGTATAGTGTAGTGTATAGTAGTGTAGAGTATAGTAGTGTATAATGTAGTGTATAGTGTAGTGTATAGTAGTGTATAGAGTAGTGTATAGTGTAGTGTATAGTAGTGTATAGTGTAGTGTATAATGTAGTGTATCGTGTAGTGTATAGTGTAGTATGAAGGATGAACGTTGATATTTGTAAGGTGCACGGGTTGACCAATGAGGTCTGACTTGGTCTGTCGTGAGGCCGGGCAGTGACCAGTGCTTGCCAGCTGTAGCACACCGAGGCATCGGAGCTGTAACGTCCCCAGGCTGGGGAGAAGACGACGCAGAATCATCACAAGAACGTGGGGGGAGGGGGGCGAGCAGAGAGCGGCCTCGCAATCACCACGAGGCCCAGGAGGGCGGTGACCCTGGCCACCCCAACACCTCTCTCTCTGTCTGTCTCTCTGTCTCTCTGTCTGTCTCTCTGTCTGTCTGTCTCTCTGTCCGTCTGTCTCTCTGTCTGTCTCTGTCTCTCTGTCTCTCTGTCTCTCTGTCCGTCTGTCTCTCTGTCTCTCTCTGTCTCTCTGTCTGTCTCTGTCTCTCTGTCTCTCTCTGTCTGTCTCTCTCTGTCTCTCTGTCTCTCTGTCTGTCTCTCTGTCTCTCTGTTTCTCTGTCTCTCTGTCTCTCTGTCCCAACAAAAATATTTCCCTGCCTCTCCCCTCCCTCCCCCTCCCCCCCTCCATCCCTGCCTCCCCCCTCCCTCCCCCCCTCCCTCCCTCCCTGCCTCACCCCTCCCTCCCCGCCTCCCCCCTGCCTCCCTCCCCCCTCCCTCCCCCCCTTCCCCCTCCCTGCCTCCCCCCTCCTTCCCCTCCCCCCTCCGTCCCTCCCTCCCGCCCCCTCCCTCCACTGCCCCCCCTCTCCTCTCCCTCCCTCCCTCCCCCCCTCCTCCCTCCCTCCCCCCCTCCTCCCTCCATCCCCCCCTCCCCCCTCCCCCCCCTCCCTCCACTGCCCCCCCCCCTCTCCTCTCTCCCCTCCCTCCGTCCCCCCCGCCCGCTCTGCTCAGTCGATGCGCCTCCCCCAGGCAGGGACACCCCAGAAGATGCCAATCACGTGACTTACCTGCTGAGGTGGGGTGCCCAGTGGACATCGCCACTGGGGGAGACAAAGGCGGCCGGGCGTGGTGGTGGTCGTGGTGGGGGTGGTGGTTGTTGTGGTGGTGGTGGTTGTGGTGGTTGTTGTGGTGGTGGTTGTAGTGGTAGTTGTTGTGGTGGTTGTGGTGGTGGTAGTTGTTGTGGTGGTGGTTGTGGTGGTGGTGGTGGTTGTGGTGCTTGTGATTGTGGTGGTTGTTGTGGTGGTGGTTGTTGTGGTGGTGGTTGTTGTGGTGGTGGTTGTTGTGGTGGTTGTTGTTGTTGTGGTGGTGGTGGTTGTGGTGGTGGTGGTTGTGGTGGTGGTGGTGGTGGTTGTGGTGGTTGTGGTGGTGGTGGTTGTGGTGGTGATGGTGGTGGTGGTGGTTGTTGTGGTGGTTGTTGTGGTGGTGGTGGTGGTGGTTGTGGTGGTGCTGGCCACACCACCCCCTCTGCGTGTGCCCACAGTGCCGCTAGGCTTCACGGGCCGCTGCTGCTACTCGCTACTGACAGCACTTGCCCCTAC